GCTTCCCTTTTATTTATTTTTTAATTAAAATAATTTTAAGAAATAAACCAGGATATAGAGCTTGCCTGGCCCAGGACTTAAAGAAATGATAGTTTTTAATATTTGGAGGAGAATGGGTTGATAAAACAAGCAATTAAAAATAAGCTGTGTGTCCACATCCACATATACATATAGCATGCACAAGTTAACATATAGGTATAAATGCAAATTCCTGTCAATGTTAAATGAAAAATAAAATTGCTGTTAAAACTTACTTGAAGCTATACTGTACCAATATTTTTGGGGTGGAAATGTATGTGCTAACTATATATGCCCTATCTTGCAGGGCTGTTGGAGGGATAATAAGCTTTCTAATCTTTGCAGGATATTATATAAATATGAACTAGCATGTTGATTATATATATATACATGCTATATACTAATGTATGTCATATTCCAAGACTTGCACAATCTGTACATATGAAGCAACTGTTGCTTATTGAAAACTTATATAACTATAAAGGTGTTGGTAAGTCACAGGATACCACGGGTTTTAAACTCTATACTCTATAAATTCTATACTTCCTGTTGCAACTATGGTTAATGATTTTCTTATTCATCTGATTTTTCTTCTTCCCCCTCTCTCCCGCTTCTCCATAATTCTCTCTTGTCCCTCTCTCTTCACACACACACACACACACGTACACACACACACACACACACACACACACACGTAAGGCTTGGTGATGGTTGCAGACTGATATTAAAGGAATTAAAGGACCAGGCCGAAAAGAGTTAAAAGGGCTAGATTTGCTGTATTTTTTTTCTTATCCTAAAGAGTTTTTTGAAATGTGGACTGAAATGTTAATAACTAATATGTCAGAAGGAATACAGATTTCAATGGATAAACTTTTAGAAATTAATGAGAAAAACTTTTTTTTTACCTGACATAGACATTACAAAGTCTAAAGGCATAGAAGACAACAAAATTGAGATTATCAAAATGACAATACAAAAGGCAAATCAAGAAAAGGATCTGGAAATGGATAGCTACAACAAGAAATCCTCTTTATGGAATTTACAAAGTAGGCTAATAAAAGCCTACTTAAAGACTAAAGAGTGATGAAATATCAAAACCTGCAGTGCCATAGGAAGGATTTAAAGGTCAAATCGTGTAGAGCAAAAAAGAAAGAAAATAAAGTTTGACTATTTAACATAGTACAAACTATTGTTTCATATTTCTGGTAAGGCTAATGGATTTTTTTACTGAAGTAGGATTGAAAAGATTATGATTTCTGGAAAATCAGACTATGGAGAGAAGAAGTTTTACTTGAAACTTTAAAAGAGGGCAAAAAGTTAATATATTAACTTATGCTCACTATTAGATGGATTAGAAGTATCTTCCTTATTATTGTGTTTGTTGCCTTTTTCTTTTTTACTTTTCTTTTCTGTTTTTCTGCATCTTCCAACTTTTCTTTTTCTTCTGTCTAATTTTGTTTGTATTGGTTTTTAATATATTTATATTAAATATATTTATTAAAAACTTCAATACAATTATTAACAACACAAAAAGAGATAAATGGTTCTAGATTTCTATTTGCAAGGGACATGTCTAATACAGGGCTTTTCAACCTTTTCACCCATTGTACCACTTTTAGGATATGGCAACATCCGAGTACCACCAGTCGCCTAGAAAGGTGTCAAAAACTTGATGACCCCCCCAAAAGGAAAAAAGTGAGAAAGTACAGGTAGTCCTCGACTTACAACAGTTTGCTTAGTGACTGTTCGAAGTTACAATGGCACTGAAAAAAATGCCCCCCAAGCCACAGCCGAGCAAGACACCTGCCACGCTCTTCCTCCTGACTGAGGTTTTCATTGTTGTGAGCATTTCTGCTGAGGATTGGCAGCGGGGGTGGGGTGGGGGGTGTTTGGTTTTTATTCCCCCCGTCTGCTGGGTGGTTGCAGCAGGTTTTGGTCACTTCACATGACCCTGAGACACTGTGACCGTCATAAATATGAATCAGTTGCCAAGCATCTGAATGTAAATCACAAGACCCTGGAGATGCTGCAACATTCCAGCTGATCGGCTCTTCTTCTGGGCTCAGCAGCAGGATCAGAGCAAAGCTCCAACTGGAGCCTGGTGCTGATCCTGGTGCTTCCACTGAGCCCTGGCAGCCCCGAAGAAGCGCCGATCATCTGGAAAGCAGTACTGATCCTGGCGCTTCCACTGAGTCCTGACAGCCCTGCAGCTCCAGCCATCTCTCGCTCAGGCTTGTGCGGTGCTGCCACCGATTCAGCTCATTCCCCTCCCCCACTACCACTTTTCTAGCATGGTCGCATACCACCTGCCAGGTGACAATGTACCACAGAGGGTACCCGTACCACTGGTTGAAAAGCCCTGGTCTAATAGATATATTACACATTACTGGATGGAGAAATCTATACCTGACTGAAACAATCTGATCAAATTGATGGACATCATGAGGTACTATTGGAAAGATTTAAACTGTTGTGACCTGGAAATTTGAAGTTGCCATACTACACAGGGAGGAAAAATATTTCCTTTTTATATCATCTGCAACTTTCTTCCCTCACAAAAAAAATCCTTTGGTATGACAACTAAATTTAGAAACATTACAGAGTTTCTTCCATAACTTAATTTCTTAAACTTAATCCTAGTCTGGGGAGAGAGGATATTTGGGGCAAGGGGATTACAATGTACAGCACACAAGGAAGAAACATTTTACTTCCACCTTTTTTTGATCCCCATCCTTGAAACTTTCTCCCACTAGTATGCAATTATGCTCAAAAAAATAACTTCCATTTGGTTTAATGAAAGGTTTTGTCCTCCTACTCTATCCCAAGCTTAACTGATCATAGTGAACAATTCTTGAGGTTGCATCAAATTAATTTAGTAGACCCCAATTAAAATCCCACCACTTCCTCTCTAAGATTTATTTCCTAAAGGAAGGTGAAGCTTCAAAATATGTCTTCCACTGTCATCAAAGGTACTCACAGTCCAGGAAATTGATCCAGCCTTCTAAAACAAATTCATTGCCCAAGGCTATGGACTTAGGCCTAATAACAGCTGTGCTTGGAGATAATACTGAAAGCCAAGATCATATGAAATAAAACAGATGGACACATTTGATCAGTGCAGATAAATGGACTCCCCTCCTTCCATAATTTAATCTGGGATTGTTATACTTTCTCAGTATAAATTATCTACTCCAAAACTAATCTTTCTCTATTAGGAAAGCTTGGACAAAGTTTTCTCTTACAGGAGATATAGCATGTACTGAGGTAGAGTGAAGATTTCATTGGAAAATTCCACAAGAGATATAGGTAGTCCTCAGCCTATGGCCACAATTGGGACCCAAACTTGCCTAGTCACCAAAATTGTTCATTTTAAGAAATAGAAATGATATATCTGAGGCCTCAGTTTTCCTTGTGATCCAAGGCTTCATATTCAAGCAAGGCAAAAAATAACTTCAATGCCAAATGGATGAAAGCAAATTATTACCTGTTTAACTTTTACTCTACCTTTATAGGAAAAGTAGTATAGGGAAGGTTTTTGGCCTCCATTGACAACTTTGGGAACCTTAGATAACATTTTTTTTGACTTTACAGGTAGAAGTAGAGTATGATTTGCTGCTTTACTTCAGGAACAATATTGTCTTAGGTCAGCCCTGGTTACAGATAGCAATATATTTGCTCTATTGTTTCAATTCCATCCTAATAACATAATTCACATAATTTTCTTTTTCCTGAGCTAAATTATTATAACAGTGTAAAGCTGTTATCTGTTTCATTAGATTGGGTCTGGATTTTTTAAACTGGGGGAAGTGGGCAGAGATAGAGAGAATGAATCTACCGTGTCATCACATGGCATTTGATCCTTAGTAGCTTGGCTCAGAAGTGGCATGGTGCAAGTTTAAGCTGCTACCCACCAGTGCTTATCCCTGAGACTTCATAAAAGGGAGAAAAAAGTTCTGCAGATGGTGAAAAGACTGAAATGAGAACATTACGACGTTGGATACAAGCAATAGTCACCTTTCTTTAGCTTTGGTAAGTGGAAAAGTCTGTTTCTGAGACCTCATTCCAAGAAGTGGCGTAAGAGGGGAAAATAGGACTGCAAAATTAAACAAAAGTTGCCACTATATCTTCAGTTTGCTGCAAATTTGCTGCAGTATGTCTTCTTGTCTTGTGTCTCTATAAAACTCTGGTTTTATACACAATATGTACAAAAGTAATTTGGATAATAATACATAGCCTTTCAACTCCATCAAGTTACAACAAGAGTAGTAATAGCACTACAGGTAGTCCAAAATAATTGAGCCTGGAATTAGGGTTGCAAGCTGTTGCAGTCGTAAATTGAGTCATCACATGCCCAGACTCAATTTTACAACAATTGTTAAGCAAACAATATGATTGTTAACTGAATACATTTTCCCCAATAGACATTTCCCCCCAGAAATCAACAAAAACATTACAAATCATGATCACATAACTGCACAATGTTTGAAACAGCCATTAAAGTGAGCCAGTTGCCAAATGCCCCAAGTGATCCCATGTGCATAATGTATGTATGTATGTATGTATGTATGTATGTATGTATGTATGTATGTGTGTGTTCGTATGTATGTTTGCAGCCACTGTAACTTTGAAAACAGGTTATAAGTAGGTTTTGCTGGATCCATCATAAGTTCAAATGGTTGTTAAACAATAGGTTGTAAATCAAGGTGATAGCATGTTTTTTACTAAATTAATATTAACAATACTTTTTGGTTTAGAAAGTAACAATTTACTAGATGCTAAAATGGAAATGTATTAATGAAAAAAAGAAGCAAAGGAGAATATTTTTTGTGTGATGAAAAGAAGAAATATCTCATTTGTACTATTTCTTTTTGTTGCTTATTTCTCCTTTCTGACACCTCAGGTTACTCTGACAAAGATAACAGTGTTAAAAATGAAGCCACCTATTCTCAAATGGCAAAATGAGAAGCATAAATTCCACTCACCTCCTCCATGCATCTGGCATAAATAAGGAAACCGCCATACATTCCCCAGACCTACTGCATAAGAAATACAGGCAAATATAAACTGGAAACGATTGTCCCATAAAGGTCTGGATTTCTCCATTTCTGCTCTTAGGCACTAGCAACAGTTGAATGTGTCTTGCTTCACTCTTCCAAATACTCATCAAAGCCTGTTGGTGACACAGCGCCAATTCAACTCTGAAGAGAGTCTGCTTGCCAATTGCCATTCGAGATTTTTAATTACTAATCTTATTAACAGCACTTTGTGAAGTAGGAATGAAGTAGGTTAGATAAATAAAGAAGAAAACAAATGGTAACATAAGCATTCCAGACAAATCATTTAGATTTCAGTTGCATTTCTGGGAAAAATCTGAAATGGCGTGGTTTAGTTTGCCCTTAGCCTTATGCCAAAAAATATTTGAAGTTACAAGATTACATTATGACAGCTACATGGGGTTCTGGGAACTATTTCTACCTGTCAGCAACTCCCATTTAATTATTCGTTGGGGAAAACATAAGGCCCAGTAGGAGTTTGAATTAATGCTTTTGTCACCTCACAATAGAGGTAAAGACTTGGGCTGCAAATATCCAGATGACCACTAGAGGGAAATAAAATCATCCAGAAAGCTGTAATCCTTTGATGCTGTCAAGTGGCCTACTAGATTTCAGTAATTTAGAGATTTGGTAGCACCATCTTACAGACATTTCATTTAATTTGCCAATTAACTTACTAAAGGGGATTGGGAAAGATTTTTCTGACGTAACTGAAACATTCTTTCAGGGCTTTGTGTAAGAAAAGAATAACACAGAAGGTACAGGGTGAACCTAAAAACATATCTTGTTTTCCAATATTCATACCAATTAGACTTTAAAAGAGTGACATTTTTTAAGATTATTTTAATTCTGGAGATGTAGGTTCAGCTTTGCAAACTATGTGGGAGAGAACAACAGACTTGAAGAATAGTGGTGGCAGTGGCGTAGCGTGGGTTGTCAGCACCCGGGGCAAGTAATTTGCGCCCCCCTCCACAGTGGGCGGCGTCGGCGACCCGGCGGCTCAGATCGGATTCGCACAGCCAGCACTGCAGAGAGAGTGAGTGAGCCAGGCAGGGGCAGAGAGCTGCGAGTGCGAGCGTGCCCCCCCCAGATGTTGCGCCTGGTGCGGCTGGCCCCCCCTGCACCCCCCACACTACGCCTCTGAGTGGTGGCGATACGTATTATTGGAGCAAGACATCCTAGGCTAGCAAATCCATGCTTCCAGGAAGTATAGATGTGCATCTGAATGTATAATGGAGTCTTTTGATTGTGTTTACTTAGAGCTATCAGTTTTAGGCTGTACAAATCCAGGTATCACTACCCAGAATAATTAGCTTTTTGTTACCATCCATATTGCTGTACAGTAATCCAGAACTGGTAGTCTTATGGGTGTTCAAGAGATCCATTGACTTGCACAGGAATTAGGGCATAGTCTGAAGGCTACATTAAAAAGCTGTGTTCTAGGTTGCAAGCTAGCAGAACACGGCTGCATAAATTGTGCTGCCCTCATCACTATTTTAAGTAATAGACCCAGCAAATGGAGGTATCCTTAGTGTGGGAAAGTTAAGGTAAACAACTAGTTTTATTTTCCTTTCCATCAATAGTCCTTTGAAGATAAGAAAAAAAACCACTACCAATTGCTCTCTTTAATGTAGGGTGAGAGGGGGATGGGCAACTGTTGAGAGGTGTTTAAAATGGCTAGTTTAATTAACTGCTCAACCAAGATATCACCTATATTTTCATCTCTTACTTATCAATTTGCTATTTTTTAAACCTGGGTCTAGAAAGAGTACCAAACAAAGATACAAAAATAGCTGAACTGACAAGTCGAAGATGAAGATGAGAGGCATAAGATGCATTTGGTAGGAGCAACTAATAAGGGAGAGCTCAGTGCTCAACAAAAACTGTATATGATCTCCTGCTTGAGCAGGTGTTGGACTAGAAGATCTTAAATGACCCTTCTAGCTCTGTTATATTATTAATGTTATTGCAAGGGAAGGACACTGAGCAGCTATTGCCAGCAGGACTTATACATGGCCCATAGAACAGGCAAATGGTATCTCTTACCACAACTGAACTGATATAGTAAAATGAACAGCCACATGAAATCCTTGTCAGCAGGAGTGGCCAACCTATAATGCATTCACTGGTGTCCTACCTATGAAGCTCTCTTTCCCTGTTTAAATTGACCTTTTGTGAAGCACTGAACTAGCGCTTTTTCAAAAGAGAACTAAATCCACACAGAGAGAGAAAGTAAGTGTTCAGGTAAGATCTGATTAATGTTTCAGAAAATTTTGGTCAGACATTATTTGCAAGATCCAATCAGGGTCAGTCACCAGGTTTACTCTTCTGATCTTTCAGACTCGTGCTGGAGCCCATTTTCAGGGAACTTCTCTCAACTGGAATATGTGCTTTGGGCCATTTTATGAATCGTATTTATGAGTGTCTTCCTATTCTGTGATTGATATGTTGATGGACAGTGATTGGCTGTTGTTTTCTTGTGCTGCCAAGCCCTCAGCTCCTAAGTATCTCATAAGTTGGTAAATCAGCACTCCTGTTGACTGACAAGGGGTCCATTTCCCAGGCTTCAATCATTTCCCTGGCTATCTTTATACCTGCCCGGCCAACAATTATTATTTGGGCAGATACTTCTGTGGAAGTCAGGCATCTACCTACAGTGCCTAGTAGGGGGAAGGGAGGAAACAATCTCCGGCAGCCTAAAGTGACTAGCTAGAACTGAGCACAACTCAAGACCCCAGAATTAATCATGTTATTAAGAAAGCATGCTAGATCATATCCACTGAGAAATTATATGGGGAAAAGAGCAAAACAGTATTTTAAAACTTGAACCGCTGAAGACAACCTAAACTGTCTATGTTAAGCACCAGAATGTCCTACAGTAAGGCAGTAGCAAAAAGATCTGAAAGAACGTTACCTGGACATATTTGTGTTGCAGTTAAGCAGACGTAAGGATGAGTCTTTGTATTTAGGATATAGAATTGTGGTCTTAAACTAATTTAAGTCTCATTGATTTTAATTTGTTTATATCAATGATGATTAAATCTCGATCAGACTTGCAGACTTATATAATTTGTTAGATTCATCTAAAATGGATTTGGGTATGATTCAGTTTATTATGGGAATTCAGCCACTAATTTTGCTGTTATATGAACTAGGCCAACATGTTATGTGACTTCAGCAATTGTGTTTATTAACTGGAGTCTGAGTCACAGTATTTTATATGGATCAGCCCGATGTCTGGTAAAATAAGTTTTATATTTAATAAACTTTTTTAGATGCATGTTTTAGTTGAATTTGGTATACAACTCTTCAAAATATCTGTAATAAACAAATTAATTGCCCTAGATTGTTTTTATTGATTGACTACCCACAAGAATTACTTGACACAGATTAGAGCTGCAGGGGTAATGTGGAGAGGATTTAACCTTTGACCCCTCCAGATCCTTTTCTCCATCTCTGGCTGTTATTTGCATTGGGAAGAGAGCTAATAATTGACACTTCTATTCTTACAAATTGAGAACTTGCAGGATGATCACCTAAGGCCCTCAGAATATCAAAATGATATTTAAAAAGCCCATGGAAAGAATGCAGCATGATATGCACAATGTTTGGTGATCCCTATAGAAAAAATAGGCCTTTCCTAATGAATTGGCACCAGTTATTGGGAAGCTTGAGGTCAGGGGTCCCCAACCTATGGGCCATGGCCCACTACTGGGCTGTGGCCTTCTGCCACTGTGTCATGGGACAGGCTGGCTAGCGCGCACCCATGTGGGTGTGCACTCCCAATCCCGTTAACACTTGTGGACCCATTTGCGCCTGTGCGTGGGGCTAGCGGAGGCAGCTAACGCCTGCACACCTGCACAAATGGGCCACTAGCGCCATGCGGGTTGCGCATCCCATTTGCACATGCACACGGGGGCTAGTGGGGATGGCTAGCACATGAACAAATGGGGCCACTAGCAGTGTGGGTTGCGTGGCCCATTTGCACATGTGTGTGGGGCTAGCAGCGGCAGCTAACGCATGCCTATGCAAATGGGGCCGCTAGCGCCATGTGGGTGTGCACGGCCATGTTTCTGCATGCACACATGCATGCGTGCAAATTTCCCAGCTGCTTCCTTTCCCTCTGGGCCTCCAGCATGAAAAGGTTGCTGACCTCTGTTCTAGGTTGTGAATAGGAAATCCTGATAATTCCCTTGACATATTTTGTAGGAAATTTCCAGTTGTTCAAATACAAAAAAGAGACATTAGTTAATGATCCCAGGTTAGTGAAATATATTCAATTTTACTTATGCCATTTTGAGATATAATCATCTGGTGCTTAAGCTATCGGTTGTAAAATATACAGAGTGTACTAAAAGTCAGGCTCTAAGACAATTGATAATATAAATTATATTAAGTTTGAATGGGGTTTTTTTCTAAAGAATTTTTTACCCATTTGGTGCATGATGTTTCTAAGTAACATTTTCTTTGAAAAAATATTAATAGAGTAAAATATTTGAATTGGCCTATGGGGCTTGACTTTTAGCACACCCTGCCTAATGGTAATTCTAAAGCTTGAGTTGTTTATGATAAGTTATAAAATAAGATAAGAATATCACTAGCTTCTAGTTAAATGGAACATTAGATAAAACAAGGAAGAGTAATATAAGTTAAATATTTTCTTTGGTTCCATATTTTCCCCATGTCATTTTCACTTGTGTTATCTATATAAATAAAAATGTAAATGTTCATTTGTTCAAAATCTTAAATCTCCGAAAGTTCTTCACTGATTGCTTTGAAATTTTGACACAATCAGTCTTGGTTCTTATATTATCAATTGGCTGAAAGATGGTGTTTAGATCAAAAACTGGGTCTTATGTTGGAAGATGGGAATTTGATAAAACAGATTAAAGATCAAAGTAGAGCCCATATTAGAAGAATTTATAGTGTATTATTAGAGTTGGATTCGGAAACAGAATTAGTTAAAGATTGTATGATTAAATGGGCTCAA